TTACAAAATTTAAAGTTTTGTGAACGCCGCAATTATCTATTTCTGATGCAGCAAACTGTATTTCTGCGTTACTATTAGTTCTATCAATTTGAGAAACGGTTAATTAATCGATTCTATCGATTGAGAAACGGTTAATTAATCAAAACTAACATATGAATCCAAATACTAGTTTTAAAAACAATAAAAAAATGCCAATCAACAAAATTTTTGAAAAAAGGTAAATAAGCCGTTTAAAAATGAATTTTTTGAGCTTTTCTGTCCGCCATAAAGATATCGACCACATCGTCATAGCTCACCTTTTTAGCAATATCTTCTTCAATCAAGATAATCAAAAGATCAGTGACGCAATCCTGGCCCATGGTCAACAGAGAAAGTTTTTTACAATCTTTAGTTTACTAAACGATCGTTCATCCTCAGCAATTCACACAGAAATAGTGTTGAAAACCTGGAGCACAATACAAATGTACGAAAAAAGGTGTTCAAGCTTCTTCTTGAAAATTTAATTGACTAGCTGCAATAGATTTCCTTTGCATAAAAATTGTTTTTCGGATATTTTTTCATCCAAATACTCTTTGTTCAAGTCTCTCGGATAAAACCGTGCAAGTTTAACCAGTTAAATGAAAACATATTGGTAACCATTCTGCTCGCCTAAAATCTTGATTTGAGGCGAGCAGATTTTGATTAAACCAAAGAACAAATGTATCAACATTTGCTCTTTGGTTTAATCAAAATCTGCTCGCCTCAAATTTGATTAATTTGATTAATTTGATTAAACCAAAATAAAAAATGTTGACTTAGAAATCTTTTTTTTGGCTATCGTGGGAATGAGCTGTGTTTGACGACTCATCTTGAAAGCGCTTCAGTTTATGCTTTCTTTTAGTAACAAGTTTAGTTTTGAATCTTTTTTAAAGGACCTTATTTTTTTTTTTTTTTAGAAAATCCTAAGTATAGAGGACTTTCTTTAGAAATTGACGATTGTGCCCCTCCACTCCGAAACTTGTGTCATGTCACATTCTCCTCAGTTAGATAGTGTTTTTCCTCTTGACTCTGATGAGTCACTTCTGAAAAATTCATTTAGCTCAGCTTCAGATGAATCGCTTGAGACCCCCACTAATCCACAGTCCTTCAAATCACACATTATTAGCGCAGCATGTGATCTTGAAAAAGAAGGAGAGCTCATTAGTTCCTATTGACCCTCATGGACTGACTGGTAGCCATGATGATTATTGTAAGGATTTTTATGGAAAAAAGTTAGTATTAACAACAAAGATTATAATACCAGAGGTAGTTAAAAGAAAAAAATGTGAAACAAAAAACAATAAACCTAATGGAGGGCATAACTGAGTGTTCAGAGAGAGGTATTTTCTTTGGTTTGTGTTATGGTTATTAATCCTGTATTCTCCAAAGTCTGTCTATTTTCTTCTTCTTCTTCTTCTTCTTCTTCTTCTTCTTCTTCTTCTTCTTCTTCTGCTTTTTAGTAGCTTCAACACGGTTTTAAGCACGAAAGATTTCTTTCAACCCATTTTTCAGAGTGTTTTGTAAATTATAATTAATTTATAAACAATATTTTCAGTTATATTTTCAATATCATATTTCCGCATTTATACAGAAGTTTTACTTAAAAAAAAAACAAATTTTTTTAAGATTATATGTATAAAAAAACAAAAATTGTATTTTACTTACGATTTTGGCGTTGGAATCTTTGCAACAGTCACTGCTTCTTGTTTACTCTTATAAATTTCGCTTTTGTAGTAAATTTGCCAAGAAATATCTCGTTTACTTCAACTTCTTCAACAACCGTGTAGCTCACCCATGAAGCTTACTACCAAAGAAGTTGTCAGTACTATCAGTGTCAACAGCTTCAAAGCGAAATTTGATGAGCTACCATTAAAATTACACAACGCATCATCTTCCGCTCAGTTGAGCACAAGCTAACTGTTCATGGGCTAACGGAATACGCTCGGTTCCCTCTAATTCAACTACAACTAAATCCTATTTTTTTCGTAAAAAATAGTTTATAAATAATTTTGATATTAGAATTTAAAATAGAATTTTTTTTTTCATGTGTATTTTCATTCTGAGTTTATTTCCAAACACAAAAACTAAGCAGATTTCTCATTGTCGTTTATTAAAATGTTTTCTATAATTTAGATAAAAACAAAAAAACAAAAAAAAGGCGTTACCCTGCGCCCCTTTAAGTTTGACGCCCGAATCAATTTGTTCTCTTTGCCCACCCTCTTGAAGGCCCATACATATTATATAACAGTGTTTTTAATTCTTGCTCAGTCGCCAATAAGTTTAAGAAGCTTCGATACAATATTTTTATTGGTGCGCCAGGTTTCTATTAATTCTCATGATTCAAGAACTGCAAAAACTTTTTTAATAAAATTAAAAAGTCAAAAATTATTATGAATTTTGGTTAATGCACTTATTTTAATACGGCCATATTAATAGCAAAAAAATAAATACTTAGATATTTTTATATTAATATTGATACGAAACTTGTATTATATCAACTTATATCTTAAAACTTTTGATTTTATTTAGATAACGTAAATGCTAAAAGGAGCAATTCAAAACAAAAATGTTACGAAAATTTTCAAGAAATAAATCCGGAAAAAAAGTCTCTAGAGAGTACAGAACTTACAGCGGAAAAAAAGTCTTTAGAAAGTACAGAACTTACAGCGCAAATTTTTGATCAGTTAGAAAATATGGAGAAAAAAACTAAAAAACTTCTGAAACTAAGAAAAAAACAAAATCAATCAAAGAGTGTTTTCAATGGTAAACAATCAGTTTATGGTACAGACAGTAGACCATCGTTAACAGGAGCTGATAAGCAGCATGTTAGCTTGGTTGATGGCAATATAAAAGCTCTAGCAGAGCTTGGTGGTACGGGAAAAATTCCAAAACTTCCATTTTATGTTCAAGAAGCTGTTGCTGAAGAAGTAACTTTGCCTGACACTGAAAATAAAGATGATACGATATATGTAAATACCAAGGTCAAACCGCAGGAAGTTTACAATCAAAAAAAGTCAAAAATATGCTCAGAAATTACTACTTCAAAAAAACAAAAAAGAGACATTGAAGAAACTAGTGGGGAAACAAGCGTTCAAGACGACCCTCACCACGAAGAAACTTTACTTCACTCTTCAGTTAATGGAGAAAATGATATGTTAGATGAAGAAAGCGGTAGTGTTGATGAAGATAGCGGATCTGTTGGAAATACTGTTAACAAGTTGGAAAAACTTATATATGACAACAAGCATAAAATATTTAGTAATCAAAACAGATTTCATACATATGGATCTCAGAGAAGCATTTTTGAGAATAACATTTTAAAAAATAACGAGATCACCAATGTAAATTTTGCAAATAGAGATCACGATTTTGACGAAGAAAATGATTACGAATCAGGTTACACTGAAGAAGAACTTGAAAGAGGAGTTGAGCAAGAATCAAATGATTTTCAATATAACGACAATAAAGATGATAGTTTAATATTACCAGAAAATACTGAAGCAAATAAAATTATAGATTCAAATATGAATATTAAAATCAATAACTATCTAACAAATCTAGCTCAATACCAAAATGAAAGAGACGCCAACAATGACTATTTAAGTTATAACGAAGACAAGGTACTCAATCAACTAGTTAATCGCGATAAAGATAAAATGATCAATCAATTAAGCAAACATGTAAAAAAGGATGGAACAATATATGAAATTCAAAGCAATCGAGATGTAGAAACTATTGAAAATGAACAAAACTTAAATCATGATAATGAAGTTTACTATATTGCAAACGAAGAAAACAATAACATTGCTTCCTTTGTACCTTCTCGATTCATGTCTAATAACTCACTAATTGAAAATGAAATAGTAGTAGACGAAGATGGCAGTGCCGTAGAAGAAGTTGCTGATTTAGATTTCAGTACTCAAGAAGATTTAACTAAGTCTAATAAATTTGTAAAAAGTATGAAAACTGTCAAAAATAAACTAAATAAACCCAGACTAATTAATAGTTCAAGTCTAGTAAAACAAAAAAATAAAAAAATACTGTTTAGTGGTGTGATAAGAAACAAAAAAGCTCAGGATCAAAAACTTTTACCGAATTCATCGTATTTTTATAATAAACCAACGACAACAAAAGCCGCTACGGAATTTCTAAACTCTTCAAAATCATGGCCTTTTCGAATCATTCACACAAAAATTAAAAAGCAGGAAAACGATTTAGAAGTAGGCCATCAAAATATTAAACATAAAAAAACAAATAAAAAAACAAATAAAAAAGTGCAATCTAGTATAAAGGGAAAAAATAGTAAAAACGTCCTTCGCTTAAATGAAAATTCAAAAAAAAATGAAAAGATGCAGCAAAAGAAAAAAGAAAAATATAAAAAAAATAAAAATAAAAAAATAAAAGAAAAATTTTTAAAAAAAAGTAAAAAACACGAGGAAATTATAAATAAGTCTGTGAACAAAAAACAGAAGCAAAGCAAATCTAAAAAGCAAAGAAAATCTAAAAGTAATCACTTAAAAGCACCAGTCACACCAGCGAGACTAAAGACACATACAGAAAATAAGTTTAAAGAACAAAAAAAAGATAAGAATAAAAAGGACCAAAAAACTATAAACAATGACCAAGCAAGACAAAAAAAAATTAACAATGACCGTGCAGACCACAAAAAAGTAAATAATGATAAAAAAATTTCAAATGAAAAAAAATACAATAATAAAGAAAACAACGACAAAAATGAAAATGACGAATATGCTAATGAAAACATAAAAAGTGATAGAAAAAACAACGACAAAAAAGGGGTTCAACTAAACAAAAATGTCAAAAATATGGACAATAGAAAAGGCAATGATACTAATAGAAATGGTAATGAATTAAAAAAAGAAGAAAATAACAAAGGAAAAACTTATCAACAGCATAATAACACAACAAAAAAAAAAAAAGAAGAGGAGGATAAAATAGCAAAGACTGGAACATTGACCAAACTTAAATCAAGCCATAATTCCTCCAATAATGAAAACAAAGCTGGCAAAAATGATCATAACCAAACAGATGATAACAAGTATGAGGAAAAGGTTATGAATTTAGGAAAGTTAATCATAGAAAAATCGGACAAATTAAAAAAAAATGAATCAGAAGCGCATGAAAACAAAAATAAAAACAATAAAAATAAAAAGGTAAAAACAGATAGCAGTATGAGAGATGATCCACCAGTTTATAATCAAGACAATCTTCGTCATCTTTTAGCGCACAATCAAAAAAGGACAATTGCGCTGCGCAAAGCGCAAAAAATAAAAAGTTTTAGAACAAAAAAAATTCAAAATCCTGTTTTACCTAAACCTCGAGGTATCATAACTGAACCTGACCCAGAGGCTTATTTAAAAAATGCTATAAGTATTTTGGACAGAGAAACACGAAAACTCAATAATAATATAAGAATAGTTCGTGATAAAAACAATAAAGGAATGTTATTATTGCGTGATAGTCAGCACTTTGTTCCAATATACACAAATTCAAAACATTTAAAAAAGAAAGATGTCGCACCTCAAAACCTTATTCCTCAAAATAGTTTATTAAAAACATTAGATGATGAAGCAACAAAGTTATATAAATGGGCAAATGATGTTATGAAAAATATATAAATAACTAATTATATAAAAATATATATATAACTTATCTAGAAAATATGTTAATAGCAATAAACGCAATGATTTCTTATATTATAATTGAACAAACAAATAATATAGATACTTAAAACCGAAATGTAAATTATTATTAAGTTTTTCTTTGTTATTATCTTCTTTTTTTAAAACGGTCGTGGTTAGAGCGCTTGCTTTAGAAGCAAGAGATTGAGGGTTTGAAGCAAGCTCTGGATATATTTTTCACTATCGGTAAGAAAGAGATAAGATCTTTACAAGTATCTCCTAAGTATAACTGTTTAAGATATTTTTACAAACCCCACATCCGTGTAATGGACCGTGTAAGTTAAAAAAATATTTATAAACTATAAAATTATTTATAAAAAATTTATTATACTACATTTATTCTACAAAAAAATGTGCTATTCTTTAATTTACCAGAAAAATTTCAAAACGTGCTATTCTTTAATTGACCAGAAAAATTTCAAAAAGTATAGACATATTATGCAAAACAAAAGGCGTTCTTAACAAACCTTAACTTATATGCATTACTTATATCAATGTTATTAAATTAAGATTTAAGTAATAAGTCATTATTATATTAAATATGCAAACAATGCTTTGGATAATAGTAATAAAATTTGTAAGACGTTTGAACAATGTGGCATGTATCGTTAGCACAACATTGACGATAAACGTTATTTTTATATCGTTTTGGTTAAAACTGCGACGTCCCCAACGACAAAAACCAACGTTGTATTTTTAGTTAGCACAGCATTGATTTTCACGTTGATTCAATATTGTATCTTAAGCTGATTCAGTGTTGCATTTTTTAGAATTAAATTTTGTTAATATACTATTTCTCTTATATATATATATATATATATATATATATATATATATATATATATATATATATATATATATATATATATATATATATATATATATATATATATATATATATATATATATATATATATATATATATATATATATATATATATATATATATATATATATATATATATATATATATATATATATATATATATATATACAGTGCCGTGATTTATAGGTTGAAGGCCCCAAAAACCTGTCATTAGAGCCCTAATTTCTTAAAAAAGGTCCTAAAATTTCAAAAAGGGGTCCTAATTTCAAATTGATAATAATGATAATACTTTTTTTTTTTTTTTTATTAGAGTGATTTATTTCCTGCATAAATCACTATAATGAAACATATCAGTTTGCAAGTAAAATAATTTGTAATAAAAATTAAAATGTAAAATTCATAAACTTGTCTTCTGATCTCGTGACTAGACTTTCATTAGATGAAAAAGAAGAGCGAGATGACTTAATATGCAATCTCTGTCTCCAAATTTTGTAATATTTTAAAAACTATCAACTTATAAAAGTAATATGACTAATTAAAGTAACAAACTAGGGTTTCTAACAGCTGTTAACAGAAACCGTAAAACAGTTGTTTTTTTAGCCAAAATCGGAAAACAGGAAACAGCTGTTTTTTTGCTACCTGTTTTCCTGTTTTTGATTTTTATCTTTATATTTTTTTCTAACAGAAAATTAAAAGAAAAAATTAAAAAAATAGTTTGATTTTTGAACAATTTCTGGATTTTTAATATGGAGCAAAGTAGTGCCCTGTATGAATTAAACTTAAAAATATTTGCTTTGTGAAACAAGAGTAACGATTGTTACGAAACCAATTCCCTATGGGCAATCAATTCTAATACTCGTTTAGAATAATCATTAAAGATTGTAACACAAGAAGTTCTCTTTAGAGAATTATATGAAAAACACTATAATGATTGCAAAACTATTTTCTTAAGAGATTCATTCTGCACAAGGAATTCTCACACGAATGGAATAAAAGCCGTAGCGCTAAATTCAACAGAGTTGGAATAACGATACTAGAAACTACACATAGTTTTAACATGATATAATTACTTGTAATAGTTTAATATAACATAGAAATAAATGTTAAAAAAAACATTCTCTTTTTATATTCTATAAATAAGAATACAAAACATAACAGTGAGGTTGAGTTGTTAATATTTTTGGCTTAACTAATTAAATTTGTGATTAATTATTTTAATGTTTTGCTAGAAATTAGATATTATTCTTATTATGAAGAATATTTATTATATATGTATATATAATGTGCACCTTGATTCAATAGAGATGTCATCTGTTTGGTAGTTTGCAACAAAACTAAAAAATCCTGTGACTAAGGATATAGTAGGAGTTTGCAACAGCTGCAATCATGTCATTAAGTGTTCTGGAGGATCTACCACGAGCTTAAAGGCTCACTTAAAATCGAAGCATGGAATTGATTGGTCTCAAACTGAAAAAATTCCTCCTGAACAAGTTTTAGAGAAAAGAAACCTAAAATAATGCTTGGTTTTGTTCAACATAAGAGTTTAAATGAAATAGTTTCTGACATGGCCACAGACGGAATATCCATTAGAGCTATCACCAGAAATTAGTTCATTCGCGATGCAATCAAAAAAGAAGGATATCAACTTCCGAAAAATGAGAGCGGGATAATAAAGCTTATCAACGCTGATTTTCGTAACAAAAAAAATCAAATGGTTTCAAAAATTGAGAATGGAAGAATATTCAGTAAAAGAATTGACGAGTATACAACTGTTCGCCGCCGCTTCTTTAGAATAAATCTGCATTGTAGAGAAGAAAACAAAATATGAAAATTGTGATAAGATCGCTTTTTTTTTTGTGCAATGCTTAAACAATTTTTTAAAAAAATATCAAATCACTTGAAAAGTTTTTCAATTGAACTTGAAAAAGATTTGGTAGGATCAACACAAGACAGTGCAGCAATCAACAAGAAAATATGAAAATTGTTAAGATCATTGAACAGTATTGTATTAATCATAGCATCACTTGGTAGTAACTAACACTTTGTATAAGAAAAATGGCTGAATTAGTTCAAGTGAGTTAAATTCGGACTCTGATGGTAAAGATAAGGTTGATAATTTTAAAAATAATGACATGGAGGCTGTGCAAGTAGTTTATTCAGAAGTGGATTTCTAATCTGTTTTGAAAAATGCACGAGATGTTGTCAAATATATAAAAAAATTTGACAGTTAGGAATTAAATACTTCAGTCAAAAGTAACTTTTTGGGGCTGAAATCGAATTTCACCTTGACGTTCAACATCGTTGGAATTCTATTCAAACAATGAATGATCCACTGACTAAAACAAAACTTTGCCTGTTTGAGACATTAACTGAATTAAATATTTGATCTGATCAATAAGGTAGCTTTTAATGCTTTGTTGATGTTGCAAACTGCCATGGAGCCAATCAAAATTGCTGTTTAGACACTGAGTCGTGAAAGTTCAACGCTTTTGACAGCTGATACTGTGATTGGCTTTATGCTGGAAAAACTTTCGAATTTAAATAACAGGGAAAGAGTTATATAAAAATCTCAAGAAGTGAACGAGTGATGGAATAACGATTTGATGAACTTATTAGGGTCACTGAGAAATCCCACGAATATTTCATCAAGAGACACTTTGCTCTTTGCTGGAAAATTGGCAAAAAAAAATTTCAGTTTTTGAGGAGATGAAGAAACTCATGGTTCTGGTGATTCACAGACGTTGAACAAGTTTTTTCAATTTCAACAAACTTTTGCACAAAGATTAAATCACGCCGGACAAATCTCTGAACTTGTGATTCTTAAACTTTATTATAATAAAAAAATAATGCTAAAAATTAGACTAATTTGTTGCAAATTCCATGAAAAACAGAAAACAGCTGTTTTCTGAATCTATCTGTTTTTGAGAAACTCTAAAACAAACAGACATTACAAAAAAAATCCCTGAAAAAGTTAAACATGCTAAGGACACCATCCACTAGCAATAACCGATACTGTAAATACAGATATATATGTAAACACAGTTTCATTTCCACCCATTTTAAAAAACTCTTATTTAATATTATGAAAAGCTATCTTGCCTCGTTTTTTCTGTTGATCCTTGTGTTTTTAATTTCCTTTTGTATTAGACTCACAGATGCTCATAACCACTTTTTAGTTTTGTGATTTGACCCCGGACATTGTTATAAATTGTTGAATTTGTTACGATGTAGTAGATTTAGGATTGATATGTCACCGAAATCACAAAATTCCTTTTACCAAAATTTTGATGTTTTTCGTGGTCCACTGGGGCTTCTAAAAACAGGACGTTTTAGGTTGAGGAATTTTGCTCAAAATGCATGCAAATAAATGAATTATTATTATTATTTTTTACACAAATTTATAAAAGAAAATTATCAGTTGTTCAAAAAGTTATAGCTTTAAAATTTATTGTTTCAGCTTTTTAATAGTTTAAGCTTTTTTATAGCTTCAGTTTTTATCCAAAATGAGTCATAATTTTTAACACATGATTTAGATGACTGTCATGAATATATGATTTAGATGACTGTCATGAATATATCATTTAGATGACTGTCACGAATATATGATCTAGATGCGGCTGTGGCGCAGTGGTTTGAGCACTTGCTTTAGAAGTGAGAGATCCAGGTTTAAAACTAAATCGGGATATATTTTCGCGTCACGGTAAGGAAGGAGGAGTGAACTTCCTAGTTAAATGCATTTCCGCGGTGCTCTGTGACAAGACCCTTTGGTCTTCTTGGGGCACCTAAATATCAAAAAATAAAAAAAAACAAATAATTAGGTGACTGTCATGAATATATCATTTGTAAAATACAAACCCATGTCTTGAACACTAATTAATAAATAATAATATTGAGATGTTTACTAATTAAATTAATACATTTTGTGACAATAACATTATTAAGTAAAGTTAAAGTATAATTATTTTTTCAGGAGCATTTGTAAACTGATTACAGATTTTTTCAAATATTCAGCAAAGGAGCTGTTATTTTTTGAAACATTAAATCTGTTCCAAGACTCATTAAGAAAGCTGTAATGAATTGTTTCAACAACTTGCTCAGAATAGTAACCAAATCCACGACTTCTTACTGCTCAAAAAGCACCTATATTTTTTAAAATGACATGAATTTTCAATGAAACAGTTATTCAATAATTCTTCTGTATCTCAAGTGTTCAAAGTGTTCTGTAAGTTTTTAATATGTGTTTGAAAGTTATGATGCAGTGTTTGTCCAAAACAAGACATGACCAAGTTATTTAAATTTCTTATCCCCTCTGTCAATGATTTCAAGTTAATTGGCAATGCTCGCAAGTACCTATCGTAATTTTTTAGGATTTTCCTGAAGGTGTTTCTATTAAAAGCATTGTTCTGAACCGCTTTTGAAATGTTCAGAGTTATTAAAACTTTAGCAAATTCATTTTTACCACCACATTTCTCTATATGCTTAACAGCTTCCTCCATTAAGTTTAACTCTGGTGGAAAAAAATAATCTACCAGTAACAGGTGGCTGGTTTATGCGCGTATCAATGGAGGATTAATAACATTGAAAAAATCTTTTGCATTACGTTTGATTGAACCTGATTCAGAGATTTTGTTTTGCCGCTCTAAAGACACAAAAGTTTAAGTTTCTCTTCTTTAAATGGTTCCATTTGTTTCCATTTGCATATATGCAAGGTTAGGTCATAGCACTAGGAGATAAACTACAAATTATTTGACAAAGTTTAAGATCATCTACAAATGAGTGTTTTATCTTAATTAAATTAAGACAGTTCATTTATAGAAAAACATTGTAGTGACATTCAGAAATATTTGAAACCACAGCTAGTAAAAAAAAAAATTTTACAGAAACTTCTTTATATTTTGAACTCTGAGGTTCTGCATAAGTACTTCTGGTAGTTTTGTCTTTGTGATTATTTTTCTCAATTTCTAAATTTTTGATCTCAGTAGGTTTAAACAGATCTAAAATATGAAAAATATTTTTACAAAATCTTGTTCCTTTTTTTTTTAGTTTTAGCAGAATGAAGCACACTGAAACATATTTGGGATGAGATAAAAATAAAAACATACTTAAAATAGCAGATAAATTTATTTGTCTAATATATATATATGTATATATATATGTATATATCTATATATATCTATATATATATATATATATATATATATATATATATATATATATATATATATATATATATATATATATATATATATATATATATATATATATATATATATATATATATATATATATATATATATATATATATATATATATATATATATATATATATATATATATATATATATATATATATATATATATATATACAAAGTGGGCATATGTAAACTAGATTTTAATAATTTTTAAATTTTTTTTTTTTTTAATTTTTGGCTTGTATTTGTATAAAAAAAATCCTAGCAACCTTGTAATCTGATACAAGTAGTGATTTAGAAGAACCCTTTGATTAAAGAGGAAACAGAAATTAATTTTCGACAATTTACTAAGTTAATTTTCTATAAAATCAAAAAAAAAAAAAAATGTCATCATGTTTGTCCAAAATTTAAAAAAAAACCTTTTCTCACAATCTTGTTGTTAAATAAATTCTAATTTAATTAAATTCAATTAAAAGGATGTGGCTTTAAAATAAATTTTTAAAGGAAAGTAGTCGGCAAACGCGTTTTAACTTCAAAAGTACCCCCTGCATGTTCACCGTGCATGGAAACGCGAAAAAAAACAAACAAAAAAACAAAAACATCTCAGTCAAAATAATGGATTCTGAGTATTTAAAGCAACATGTTGGACTGGCATTGTCCTTAGGTTTATCAGAAATATGCCAAAAAAGACCATCTGATCCAATTGGTTACTTATCTGCATGGTTAAAAAAATACGTTCGTAATAGGGAAGAAAATGAGCATGTAAGTGAAATTATCAATAACTTATTGAATAAGATAGTAGAGCTATTTTTTTTTTTTTTTTTTTTTTTTGATGTTTGATAAAATGGTTGAAATCTAAGTTTTGGCTGAAATCAACTTTTATTTGGAATAATCTACCAAACTTTTTTTTTAAACCCAATATGTGGTCTGTTTATACATAGACTAAATGACATACACATGTAACTTTAACTATGTCGTAATTAAAGTTACATGTGAGCTTTATAAATTGTTTTGTAAAGTGATTTTTACAGAATATAGTTTGAGGTTGCTTGAATTCTACACGTTTAATGTTGGATTTTAAATACGGATACAAAAAAACTAAATCCGTTAATACAAATTATAAATATTAAAGTTTTAAACTACTATATTTTATTAGGCAGCTTTAAATATACTAGGAATTTTTACTAATAAGTTATTTAAAAGAAAAAAAAAGTTTTTGTTCGTGTTAAGAAAAATCAACATGTTTAAAAAAGACTATCAAAATGTCAAAGTCAGTTTGTCAAAATTTTGTACTTTTAGACCTAAGGTGCATTACAACTAATTCATCAGGTATGCACACTGTTTATGTATGCATAAATAGTCAAAATACAAAATTTGTATGCAACTAGGTAGAATAAAAGTTATAATATCATGATATTCAAGAAATAAAAACTTGTTTAGTGTTTGAGTTTGTAGTCCATGAGCTTGAAAAAGATGTAGTGTTCAAGCAATGGCAGAGTACTGACCGTAAGACACTAATGTTATAATCATTGCCACTAGATAAGTTTAATTATTCCTTTTGTGACAACCTTACCACACATTAATTTATAGCAAAAACATAAAGTTGATTTTTGAAAAAATGTAAAGAAAATATAAACCAAAAATAAATGTTTAATTTAAGGAAGTTTTGCTGAAAATCATCAGTTTGTTGTTCAGGATATAGTTAAAATGTATCACTGGGCCAAAAATCAGTGTTCTTTTTTTACAATTGTAATTTATTTTCTAGAGAAAGCATTTCTTAAACAAAAATCTTTTTGTTACTTTTAAGAATATGTTAATCATGATACAGGGTTTGTTTATAAGGTTCAACTACATATAACTAAATGTATAAAAAAAAAATTGACCAAATGTATCATGTGTGAAGTATTATTTTAATGGCTGTGAAGCACAATTTAACACAATTAAAACAAATTAACTTTGAGTTAAATACTGAATAGGTGTTTTTTGCTACTAGCCATGGTAAACCCCCCTGTGCTGGCATTTAAGATGCTAGAAAACAACATAAAGCTAGAATTTACAACTTAATATTAAATAATTTTAAACTCCCAAAAAAAAAATTTTTAAGAAATTATTTTATAATTTTTTTATATTACTAAAAATGAAAAAAGTTAGATAATAATATTATATCTAAGAAATAAATATTTTGTGTTTGTCAGAGAGTTGATAGGTTCAAAAAGCGTTGTTAAAATTAAAAATGAAAATATGATAAATAAAGATGTTAATCATTTTAAGTGGGATTGATTAAATCTTATAGAGGATTTGACCAATTGCTTGATACAAATCATAGAATAAAAATGTTATTTCTAACAATACACTTGTTGTAGATAGTTCTAATGATGAATCAAATTCTAATACTGTTCTTAAAAATTGTGAAGGTTTTAATTCAGGATTACTGATAATGGTTCTGAAGAGTACTATTATATTGATGGCGACAATAGCAGTGATTATTGTGATCAATCTGTTTAAGAAAATAAAATCAATATAGAAATTGATGGAATTGCAAATTCACATTGTATCTGTTTTATTTGTAAATGTCTGGTTTGACTCCGTTTAGAAAAATAACAAATGAGATATAGTTTATTATTAAAATAAACATATTTATAGCAATTGGTACTCTGTGTTGTCAGTTTGACAGATAGCAAGTGGCTTAAAAATAAATATTATGGTCTAGGATTTAAAAACAGCATCTATATTTGCAAATTTTAGTGATATATATAATGTAGAAGGTTCAGAAATATTGCCATCTGATAAGAGCCTCACTTAATGCTGATTTTGTTGGAAAAAATTTAGGAGTAAAATCATGCTCACAAAAATATTAGCAATTAAATAACACAGATATGATCAAAGATTTGTTTGACTTAAAAGAGGAACAGCTAGCAATTATATATATTTATTCTGTGAAAATATTTATATTAAGTGATGTTTTAAAAACAAAAAGCAGTTTAAGAGATCTAGTTCAGTCTATGGATTTATTAGTTTTAGATAGAGGTTTCAGAGATATCATTGATGAATTGAAAACTACATATAAACTGTTTCCCAAGATGAGTCATTCCCTGCCAACTGGAATAAGTTCCAACATGGACCCCCTCAGATTTTGATCAAACTGGTTTTATCAAAATCTGAGGGGGTTTCTTATTATTAATGAGAAAAGCAATTCCTGAAAGTTTTAGCATAAAATCTTTTGCGGTTCATGAGGTATGATCATTTGAAGTTTTTATAATTTTTTCAAAAATAAAAGCCTAGTAGCAAAAACATGTTTTGTTCATACTTTGAAGCTTTATATTTTAAAAACATAAAAAAAAAAAACCTTCTAGCTTTTTTTATTGTATACAACTCTAGGCTTACTTTAACAAAACATTCAAGAGTGTCACATTTTTCCCCCAATGGTTACCTAAAAAACCTAAAAAATTGTTGGCAAATATAAAGTTCATTTTTGAATTGTCAATATACAAAACCTGCAGTTTAAGAAATGAAAAGACATATTTTTTTAGTTTTTATATATGGTAGGCTTCCAAATTTTAAAAATTTACTGATAAGATACAATTCAGTAAAAAATTACAGACTTCTGCAGCTAAAACTTTGGTAAATGTGCCTCCACTTCAAACCACCGGTAACCTAGGATCAACACTTGTTTTAATAAAATTTTCTTTTTCTTCTAATTTAATAGACTTTATAAAATAAAATAGTGGGTACTCATGGGGAAGTTACAAAATCAGAACAATGAAAATTGCCCAAAATGCATTAAAAACAATAAAAGTAAATTTATTTTTGTACTTAAGTTTGTATTATATATTGTACTACAAAGTATGTATGGATTTAAAAGTATTTCATAATCAGTACTAGAAATAAGTCTTTAATTAAGCTTGAATTGAACTCAGTTATTAAATGCTCTTGCTTTTTCCTGCTCCCTCCCCTGTCCATTTATTTTTTAACATGCACATTTTTTCCCAGAATTTAGAAAAAATTTGTAATTGAACACTTCTCCTTACATTGTGTATCTGGTTTTATATCTGATGTATGAAGTGCTTTTATGCCCAAACACACCACTAAATATACACATATGAAAACTGAAATTTAGTTTTTAATGTTTTCATATAAAACTTATAAGTAGCTTATTAGGTAAAAATGAAAAGAAAGATTTTTTAGTTTAATTCACCTAATATTTAATATCATGACTAAAAATTTTATAGTATTTTTTCAATACATTCACTATTCCACACCTCCCCATTAATTAAAGACTTGATTATCATTTTTAAATTTAGATTGCAACTTATATACCAAGTAATAAGAGTTATTTGACTTGTCATCACAATGCACAAGTTGATTATGTAATAAAAAATATTATTATGTAATAAACAATAAATATAAACATTGAATCTTTTAAATGAATTTTGCTAAAAAAACTATGTTTAAATCAAATAAATCAAATTTATAATAATTTTGCTACATAGTTGTTAAGTTATGTTACTTATGCTATTTTACAACGAAATAATTCAGTTTTTTCTTGAGCTGATAGTTCATACTATTTACCAGTTGTTTATTTTGTATAAAATGTGTGTTATTGGAACCCAGCAAATATCTTCTTTATGTGGCCAAGTAAAAGTATTTAAGGAAATAGACTGCTTCATGCAAGGCCGGCGGGAAGGGGGGGTGGGGGGGTGTTACCCCCCACCCCCCCTTCAACTTTGCCGACTGACTAAACAAAATTCATTGGTGGGGGTGTTACACCCCCCCACCAATTTACACCCCCCCCCACCAATTTAAAGGGGGGGGGTGTTTACCCCCCACCCCCCTTCAACTTTGCCGACTGACTAAACAAAATTCATTGGTGGGGGTGTTACACCCCCCCACCAATGAATTTTGTTTAGTCAGTCGGCAAAGTTGGAGTTTTCAGTTCATTCAGATGGCAAATTACTAAAAAAGTAAATAAATAAGAATCTTTTAAAACTCCTATTTATATATTGTTTAAAGTTATTTAAACTTTTCCGACGTGACGGAGTATGTCCGGGTTTATTTAAACAAACCATATTTAGTTTTCGTATATTTATTTGAAACATTATATATATAGGTAATACTTTGAAACAACTTTTCTTATAAAGCTTTAAACATAGTGTGGGTTTTGCATACATAACAAAAGTTATCAAAACTGGTGCTTAGTCTACGATGCTGTCAAACTTATCAAAACATGGCGGTAAGTTATGCGATATCTGCCTGTAATCCTCTTTCTGATGATGACGTTCTTGGTGCTTAACTGCTTAAAATTGAAATGGAATGCAGTGTAAATAAACAAAAACACTGAAGCTGTTGTGTTATAATTTTAAAAAAGTGGTGATTCCAAAAGCTTATCTCATAACATTAAGTATTGACATTTTAGTGTATTATTTTATTGTTGTCTCTACTGATCACTTAGCACGCATTAAAATTATTGATGGCATTGATTGTTAGAAATTGGTTACTGATATACCACTACGTAAAAGAGAACAATTATAGAGCAAGTAAAAAAATCTGAATTTTTTTCTGTGTTGGCGGATACAACGCCCGATGTTTCGCATCAAGATCAATTGTCAGTTTGCTTACGGTACGTAGACTCTTCAGGCAAAGTCTCTGAAAGACTAATAGCAGTATGTGAAGCTTTGGATAAAACTGGACTTGGAATTGCTGAAAAGATTAAAGAAGTAATAGAAAAAAAAAGTCTGTCCTGCGAAAATATTGCTTTTCAGTTG